TCAATTCATACCAGATTATGAATAATTTGGGGCACAAAATTTTTTACGCATTTAATCATACAGTCCCAGGCAAAATATGAAGATTACTGATATTGAACTACATATAGAAATAGAAAAAAAATTAGAATTCTAACTCTCTAATATTTCACTAAACTAATAGACTGGGATATTAGCTGTGACAAGGTATATCAGATGGGACAATAACCGAGTTTCGAAATTGTTAGATGTATAAACAAATGATCATGATTTTTTGAATAAAAGCGGTTTGAATTGTTTATAGATAATTTTTTTTTTATTTTGCATATCAGAAAATAAAGAAAATTTGGGCACAAAATTTATTGTTCCCTATTAACGAGAGCTTCTCAAGATTCTTTTGTTTATTTTTTTGTGGGTTTATAATACAACCTGTAAGTAAAATAGAAAATTAATCTATTAGTTAATTTTGGCAGATGAAAAGTCGTAGAAAAATAAAATCATGATAAAAATAGTTAATATAAATTATAAAAAAAAATTTAAAAAAATTTTATAAATCTCTCATCTATTACAAATACTTAAATATATTAAACTATAAATCACACGATTTTAAAAAATTGTCTTAGCCAACTAATATAAGTTCGGAACATCTATACAAAACTTTTATTAAATATATAATTATCTGGAAGGAAATCTATTAATATAAGCTCTAGAGGTACACAACAAATCCACATGTAATCTACGTAATATTTTGACTTACTCATGTACTTCATCTAACTATTTAATTTTTAGTATTATTATGTATACTATAATATATATTTATACTATATATTTAAAAATGTTAGTTTATATATATTATTTATGCAGAAAAATATGTTTATACTACTAACTTATTTACTTATTGATAGAAAATCATTTAAGACTCTCTTTAGGTATTTAATTATTTAATCAAAACTAAGGTAGTTGCTAACCTCAAAAATCAGAAGAAGAAAAAATACATTAACAATCAAGAAATATTTAAATAAATTTTTATCATTTGGAAAAATGAAGCTAAATTTAGCACAGACATTCAATACAATTATTTAAAATTTAAAATGTAGAATAACAAAAATATACGAAAAACATACAAAATACAAAAGAAAAATAAAATAAAAATTTTATTTCTAGTTGAAAAAAAAAACAAAAATTATTGCAAAGCTTTTCAGTAAAAATATTTATTTGTATCTGTGGGAGAAAATGTTTTTAAAAAATAATTTTTTTATACAAAAACTTTTATACACGAGTAATTTTTACATAAAATACACTGCTAGAATTATTGCTAACAATTTATTTGACACTTCTTAATTATTAATTAAATAAAAACTTTAATATTATGTTATTTAAAATGCTGCAGTAAATGTATGAGATTCATTTGGAAGAATATCTGAACTCTTGATATCTAAGTTTATATTTTCATATCACCTGCATGTCTATAGATACAAAACAAGCAATCATAACGCCCACATAATGACTCACATACCGAGTAGAGAAATACATCAAAAAGTTTATGTGTCATATGCGTATTTTTAATTTAAAATTAAGAAAATAAAGTAAATCAAAATGTTGATTTAATAATCTTGGGATTTTTGTTGCATGCAAAGAGCAAACACTACATAAAGACACCAGCTAAGCAGCCATGGCGGAACAGCCATGACAGGTAGGTGAGAAGAGATCACTGTGATCATCTCTGCCAGTAATACGCAGAGATGATCCTTGCATGTAGCTCATGTTCAATACTTGACCGACCACACCTTATAAATAATTTGTTGCTATATATACTCTTCGTACACTTCGTAGTTGCCACATGTTATTTTCGATGTTTTATTTTGCAGCTGCAATATTTCTAAAATCATGAAAATATATTCTATATTTTAGAATACACAAGAGACATATATACAAAACAGAAACTGAAGTCTTTAGGAATTCCTACGAGTACGAGTAGGTATATATGTGTACTTCAGATTCACACATGCGAATATCTTTCATACTCATCAACTGGTCATTTATATTTGCTCGAACGTTCCGTTTTATTACTTTTAACCAAATAAAAGAAAAAAATATATATTTTTTATACAATATATTCTATATTGTATATTGTATATTGAATTTTCTAATTTTATGGTTTTTGTTTTGAAAATTGTATCTCATCAGCATTCACACACACACACACACATGTGTGGAAACCGCACACACATGCAAATTAGTTTTAAAATTAATTTCGCACTTTTATTGCTCCTATTCAAATTAGGTCGTTTAAGTTTAAAATTGCAAAATTCTTATACTAAATTTAATGTTTCATAAGTACAGTTGTATTTTTTTATTTGGAAAATTTTAATTTTTATTGCTAAGTTATTAGTAAAAATTTATATATGCGGTTTATAGGTGTAGCGATTTTTGATTTTTATTAATTTGAAAATTATTTTCATTTTGGCAAAATGCCTTTTCGCTTGTCAGTGTTGCATATAAAAATGTAATAAATTTTCAAACATTTTTATATATTTTCTGCCCCACTTGCATAACGAATCTAGAAAGAAGGAAGTGCAATAAAAAATTAGATATGCTCCTATGCAAATTGCAATGGTTTTATTATCTATTCTATCTGAAAATACCTTACAAATACCTTAGATTAAATGAAATATACTACAAAAGAATTTCAATCATTTAAAAACTCACATATTTTATTACATGCATTATTTTATCTTTTATATAAATACTTTAAACATATTATTTAAAAACATTTAATCTATATTAATTAAATAAAAAAGCTATGAAATTCAATTTTTTGGTATTAAAATATCTGAAAGCAAGCATTAGTTTTTAATACATAAGCCTGCTTCCACTAAAAAACATTTTTTTTAATATATAGTATAATATAATAAAATTAAATGTATAAAATTTTTGTAACATAATATACAAATATAATACTACACATACTACCTAGGCTGATTACACTACACATTATATAAAGATCGGAACAAATCTACCTCCCTTATCAAGAGCCAGAATAGATAGGCAGCTGTTCTGTGTGGGATCCAAACATAGACCGATAATGACCTGGTAAAGAACATTTTCTAAAGAAATCCAAAAAAAAAACAATTAGAGAATTAAGAACAATAGCACTTCAAGCTTCTTAAATAACTATATTTATAATAATTAATATTAAAAATATATCTATAGTAATAATGATTACAATAATATATATATGTAAACATACAATTACATATAATAGCGTACTGATATCATATAAGCAAATGTTGTTCAGTTTCAATATTGAATTATATGACCAAAAAAAATATTTCAGTATTCAGTATCAGTATATGTGTGTATATATATATATGTATGTATATATATGTATAATATAATATAATATATATATATAATATATATTATTATAGCAATATGAGCAGTATTTAAATGTGATTAAAATCTCTACTCCTTACAATCAATTCCATATACATAGAAACTATTTAAATATATTCACCTATTGTTCAAGTGAAGTTTCACTCGT